GTATGCCCATAGTTATTTTGAGAGGTGCCATCGTACCATGCAGCCTTTTATAGTTTTATTTACATTGGCATAGTGTCTTGGCTTTTCTCATATATCGGTTCCTTCTGTATGCCCTGAATTTATTCAGTTTCTCAGCTTGTATTCATTCAATCGATCCTTGTCTTTTGTCTGGTTCACTCCTGTTCTTGCCCGATTAGTGTGTCATTTATAGTGTTATACACTCTTCCTTGTTATTTTCATGTTTTGTATTTTACTTCATAAAGCATTTTGAAGTAGATACTTAAACAATATAAAACTTTAAAGCCAAGAGCATTTATTTTTATTTGTCTTGATAGTATAAAGATGAAAGCACTGGTGGCATGTAAGCATGTAGTACAATAGTTTAGGACCACAATGTGGTACGGCAATGTTTATATATGTATGTATGTATTTATATCTATATATATACATTTGCATATATATATATATATATATATATATATATATATATATATATATATATATATATATATATATATATATATATATATATATATATATGTATATGTATAGTTATATGCATATATATGTGTATATATATATATATATATGTATATATATATATATATATATATATATATATATATATATATATATATATATATGTATATATATATACATACATAATACATTCATACATATATATATATGTATATATATATATACACATATATATACATATTCACACATACATACATACATACATACACACACACAAAACTGACATAATTATGGAGACCATCGGCAGTTTCATCCATTTTTGATGGAATATGTATCCCTAAAATAAAAGCAAATTATTTCCTAATTTCATTTCCTTACATTATTAAAGACATTATATTAGTAACCAAATAATCACCCTTAGCCATATTCACAGCAGCAACACGTCTTGGCTTGCCTAGAATGTACTGATGGGCCTTTTCCTTAATTTCTGGGTTTTTATGCCATACTTTCATCAGCCGTCTAATTAGCTTGAACTTTGTTAGTACCTTCTACTTGGCTCAACTCGTCTTTCATGTCTTTCCAAAATCATTTATAGATTTTAAATCTGGACTGTTTCCAGGCCATTCAAGCACTCTAATACCATGATTATCCAGGGATCTCCATCATGCATGGAAATGCAGTCATTACTTTTGAACCACTCACGAAGTTGGGGTAGAAGACGTCTATCGATGATGTCATGATATCCAACTTGATTTAGATTACTTTTTACAACTCTAATCTTCCAGCACCCAGGGTGTAGATCCCAAATACAATTTAACTTTGGTAGGGAATTTTACTTGTGCTCTCTGGCAGCCGGGTGGTCCTTTTCTAAACTGGTTCTAATGAATTTTCGTCTGCCCATCACTAGACACATTAGTAAAACAAACCTGCAAATAAAAGTAACAATAAATGACACACTGACACACCCACCCAGTGGCTTGGGACTTAGGCTGACTCACCCACCCAGTGGCTTGGGACTCAGGCTGACACACCCACCCAGTGGCTTGGGACTTAGGCTGACTCACCCACCCAGTGGCTAGGTTGCCTGCATGCATCTCTACAACTTTTTTTCTGACTCTGAAGTTTTGGAAACACTCTTGACTATTTCCCATTGGGTTAGAGACGTTTCTTGAAGATAAACTTGAATAGCAGAAACATGCGCCTGACTCAGATCCTTTCCATCAGCTTCAGTAGGCAGTCTTGATTCGATTTACACGATTGAAGGGCTATGTTTAGTCAGTGGTGGCAGTGAATGTATTTACTCATATAAGAAGTAAAATCGGAAACGGGAAGTCTGGGAACAGTGTTAAGGGTCATGTCAGTTGTGACACCTTGTGAGGAATGAGGGAACAGTAGAAAATTTGGCCTGATATCAGTTTTGTTTTAACTAAATAAGATTCAATAAATACTACAGAGAGTAATTAATCCAAAACAATAAACAGGCATCATCCTTTTATTTGTAGATAATTTACACAACCTGTTTATGTATGTATGTATATTTGTGTGTATGTTTATTTATAAATATATGTATATGTATATGTATGATATATATTAGGTATATGTATTGTATGTATGTGTGTGTAAATATTTTTACGTATGTGTGTGTATATATATATATATATATATATATATATATATATATATATATATATATATATATATATATATATACACACACATATATATGTATGTTATGCAAGTTATGTATGTATGTATGTGTGCATGCATATATGTATGTATGTATGTGTGTTTATATATTTACACACACACACACATCTGTATAACACAAATGATTTAAACTTTAAATTTACAACCTGGAAATGTATGTCGACATGATGTAACATAAATGGTCCTTTCCTCACATATATAAACTTCAATCAAAATGATTTACATTCTATGGTCATTAATATGTTTAAGGGATATCATGAATATGTACACCAAAATCTATGATCTGTGTACATATCAAAACATCAGTCAAATCAACTAAAATCCAACTTTAAAACATTTTTACCTAAGTGGACACGATATCTGTGTGAAAATGTAATTAATTTATCAAAAGTAAGTCTTAATCTCTGCACACTTGATACTATCAAATGAATAGTAATTATTGATCCATAATGAACGCAAGATCTTATCAGCAAATATAACTCAAATAGCTTGTACATACTAATAATAACAAGCTATTATCATGGCGTATGGCCAAACACCTGAATAAAGATACAATACTACAAATACAATACTACAGTATCATTTTAAGTCACGCACGCACGCACACACACACGCACACACACACGCACACGCACACGCACACGCACACGCACACACGCACACACACACACACGTATATATAAGAGGTTCTTTGCCATTATGTTTAAAAAGAAAAGACTTTAACCAATGTGTCCTCCCAGTTATGACCTATGGATCAGAAACATGGACTACAACCAAATTACTGGAGAGGAGACTAATAAGTGCCCTGTGAGGGATGGAGAAATTGATGCTGGGAAGTAGCCTATGAGATTGGATGAGGGCGAAGTGGATCAAGAAACAGACAAAAGTGGAAGATCATCAAAAAGAAAAAAAAATGTTAATGGGCAGGTCATATATGCCGGAGACAAGACGACAGATGTTCAAAGAAAGTAACAGACTGGGCTATAGATAACATAAAGAGGCCAAAGGCCGGATCAACAAGATGGCGTGACTAACAAAAAATCAAGACAAAGTTGGAAAAGAGTGTTAGAGGCCTACGTCTTGCAAGGGATTAATTCAGGCTGCTGCTGATGTTATATATACATGTATGTATGTATATATATATATATATATATATATATATATATATATATATATATATATATGTTTGTAACTTAGAATGATATTTTAGTACTACATGTGTGTGTGTGTGTGTGTGTGTGTGTGTGTGTGTGTGTGTGTGTGTGTGTGTGTGTGTGTGTATGTGTGTGTGTGTGTGTGTGTGTGCGCGCGCGTGTGTGTGATAATACAATATCATTTTAAGTTTTATATATATATATATATATATATATATATATATATATATATATAATCCGGAGCCGGAGTCCCGAAGGTAATTCGTTGGCGCTTGCGCATCTCCTGCGACGCCGCTGGTGCCAAACCGTATCGGTCAATGCTGTTCCTTTGGATCTATCAGCTGCGTGAAGAGAGGGAGCCCTTTTATTCAGCGGCTACACCCTGGGCGGTGCTTGCTTCCGCAGGCTGGAGTGTCGGGTTTATCAGGCCGTGACAGGGGTGTGAGTCGCTGGGCTTGCTTGAGGGGGACATGTAGGTCACCTAGGAGGTCCTTGGGTAAACCAGGCTCAGGAGTGGAAGGTGCGAAGTGGCTGCTTCCTGTGATAAGGTGTACTCAGGAGACAGCGACGGGAAGGCGCAGCCTTTGTTCATCCACATCCTTCCGGGTGTTGTTTATGCACCTTATAATCCGGGGTACAGTTCTGATGCGTATTCAGGTCTGGGCCATATTCACCAGATAAGACAAAGATAGCAGTTCCACATCCCCAGCCCTGTTGTAAGGAAAAACTTCTAAAACACAAGCCACAACCAAAACCTTCCATGTGAGTTCAGCCATTGATATTTTTCAATAGGAAATCATTTTGATGGACTACGAGAGTTACGACAAGTGGTGTACAACGGTGGTAATTTCACAGGTTTACCTCTATGGGCCTATTCACACAGATTTTGACCCGTGGTGTGACCATGCGATTGTTTATTTTTTTTTTCTTCGCGTTAAATGGCATCCAGCACCAAAATGGATTTGGAAGAGGCATCATGTGTTTGGTTGTTGCATCTCCGCTTGAATTGTCGCAAACATAGCGACATAGATTACATTGGGTTCTTCCAGTTCTACATAATAAACTTACCCACGGCATCTTTGAGACAGTATAACATCGTTTTTCAATCATTTGAGAATGTCATTGAAATCATTCGATGACTTGCAGGATCAAATCTAGGACATATCTTCAACCATGATAAGGATTCCATCTGTCCAAAACGGAAACTTGTCACAGCATCAAGTCCTCTATAGTAATCCTTTATTGTAGTAATGGTATTCTAGGCTCCACATGATAGTTAAGTGAATTAAAACAAGGGAACATTTTGATGTTTAATCCATTGATTCCCTTGACTAATCACCGGGATTAGTCCATGTAGTATCCAGGGTTCCCATGGTAATGCAGTCTTATCTCTCATCGGCTGGCATTTAACCAATAATGGTGCCTGCTGTCTTCAAAACACGCGGTTCACCGCTCTGTGCGAACGATGTCATGCATTTGCATGGAAATCACACGTGTGCATGGGGGATCATGCAACCGCGGCGGTTATGTCTGAATGATTCCTGGGCCTTCCATATATATATATGACCCGGCCTGTATCAGCAATATATGGCTGGCTGTCTCAGTTGATTCACTGTTACTGAATGCTTAACGTAGTGGTTGGGTATCTGGCATAGTCTC